GGGGGAGAGCAAGAGAAGGCAGGAGAACACAAGGCTCGGGGAGCACAGTCAGCAAGAGGAGCCCCTCCCCACGCAGAACAAATTCCCAGAACGAGATTGTTGCTGGACCAGACAGACCACACCAGCCTGTCCAGCCCACGTTGAACAGTGACTCCCAGAGGCCCACGAAGGCACCCAGCAAAAGGGCCGGAGAGACAGGCCACCTCCAGAAGCATCTCTCAGCTGCCAAGGCTAATGAGTTCCACTAGCGACCGTGCCCTCCATATACCTGTGCACAGCGCTGGCCGCTTACCTGGGTGACAATGACGGGGGACATATCTTTCAAGTTCTGGATGTGGGAAAGCAAGGAATCTCGGAGTGAGACGTGTGAATCGGTCGGGAGCTCATAGAACGAGGTCTGGATTTTCATCTTCATGGTTTGCGCTGCGAAGTAGCAAGATTCCACATCCTGCTGGATCTGCAGCAACTGATCTGAGATCTCCCAGGCGTGAACCTTTTGGCAGGGGGGCGGGGAGGGAGATGCCATCAGGACACAAAGGGCAAGCAAGACACAAACAACAGCCAGCATTCTCAAGCTGCACTGGAGTTCTTTTGCAGAACTCCCAGCAAGGTCTCAGCCAGGCCTTCCCAGATCTCCCAAATATCCTACAGAAATGTCCTTGTGGCCCTTAAAAACCAACACATTTACTTATTTATTTATTTAATGTATTAATCAAATTTATATGGCCATCCATCTCACAAAAAGTGACTCTGGGTGGCATACCACAAGCCAATAAAACAATAAATATATAAAACCAACATTGCCTAAAAGACATAATATAGCAATTATTAAAAAGCATTAAAAACCATAAAAGCAGAACTAAAACAGAAAAAAAAGGGATGTTAATACCACTGGAGCCGCCTCACTAATTCCCCCGTCCCCTGGGGTCCCCAGGCCTGCTGGCACAACCAAGTCTTGAGGGACCTTCGGAAGGTCAACCGTGATGGAGCCAACCCCACCTCAGGGGGGAGAAGATTCCACAGCACAGGCCCCACAGCAGAGAAGGCCCACCGCCTAGGGCCCCCCAAACATACCTCCCTAGACAACGGAACCCGTAATGCTCCCACTCTGCTGGATCTAATGGGACAGGCAGATGAAACTGGGAAGAGATTTCAGGGTTCACACACTTTCATGGAGCATCAGCTTCATGCTGGACAACCAGGAAAACTTACTAGGTGAGGAGGGGGAGGGACTGCTCTGAAAACTGAAGGTTTCAGATTCAAGGCCAGGCTTCTCCAGTTTAAAAGGGGGGAGGGGGGACCTGACCAGTTTAAATCAGCTTGCTCCACTCCACAAGGGTTGGTTTTTAACGTGCAACCTGCCTGCTCCCATAGTTGACTGAAGAATATGGGAGCCAAAGCCTGCAAAACTGGAGGCACCAAGTTGAAGAATGCTGGAACAACAAAGGGTGCCAGATGGAAAAACAAGACTGAACAACAAGGTCCACACATTCCACTAAGCCAAAACACAAAGGTTACAAGTTAGTGCAGAGTGTGAGGCCTCCCCATTTGTTTGCATGCAACCTGGCCCCTCCCATCAGCCCCAGCAAACAGTACAAACTCCCTGGGGGCCCAGGACCGGGCCCTCTGGGGGCCCAAGTGGCCACAGGCTAGATGTCCTCAAGGACGGCTATAAGAAAGCAGAGCTTTTTATCCAGATAAAAGTTTTCACAGGTGGGGCTGACCAGACGACTCTAGGGCTCCAGGGAAAGATTTATTTCCCTCTGCCCCACATGCAGGAAAAATTCCCCAGGCTAAACAGTGCTCTGAAGAGAAAGGATCAAGGGCCTTGCACAAGAGCTGCGGAGCTCAGACCTTCCTGGGTGTTCATCCCCACACCCTGTAAAGGCCCCGCCTCTATCTCTGGAGGGCCAGTGTGGCAAATTGGGGACAGGGCTGGCCACCCCTGAGGAGTCGCTGGTTCTAGTCCCCCTCGGCCATGGAAGCTCGGTTCCCTGGGCCAGTCCCTTTCTTAGTTCAACTTCACAGGGTTGCTGTGGGGAAATATGAGAAGAGGTGGCTTTCCAAATGCCACCCTGAGCTCCTGAAAGAAAGGTGGAATATAAATCAAACAAATAAATAGAGAAGTCACTACTTTTAGCACAGGGGTTGCTTTTCCTCAGCACCCATAATGGAATATTTGGTGGTCCAATGTTTGTCCCCAAAAGCATCAACGGTATCTGAATAGAGCAAAGCATGATCGCAAATGCCAAAACTAACACCCTTCCATTTCACATGCCATTCAGCTGTGGTAATGCAGTGGGGAAAGCTGCACCAATTAGCTCTTAGTCCTCTTTAAAACAAGAGAGTTCACATCTAAAAGTGAATATGTGTAGCTCAGGGTTGAACTGTGGAGTCCGTGGGTTTTTCTGAGCTTGGTTGTTTTCTTGCAAATGTTTCATTACCAGCTAGGTCACATGCACTGAAGATGTTACCTAGTTGGGTAATGAAACATTTGCAAGAAAACAACCAAGCTCAGAGAACCCCACGGACTCCACAGTTCACATCTGCAAAGATGCTTCCTTCGTTCTCTCTGAAACAGATCTATCCTACTCCACCCATTATCCCTCCCACGTGAAGAACTTAAGAAGAGCCCTGCTGGATCAGGGCAAGGCCCATCTTACTCCACCATCTGGTTTCTCACAGTGGCCAGCCAGAGACTTCTGGGGGGGGTTCACAAGCAGGACATTGTGTCCCTCCTTCCTTCAGCTCCTGGGGCAAAAATGGGATTTTGATCTTCTAACAGTGTAAAAAGTTTACAGTGAATTCTAAAGTGCTCAGGTGAACAAAGGGAAGCAGCACTCAGAAGAGAAAGACTGAGTGGCAAATGTGAGTCCTGGTTCTTTTAAAAGGTTTCTATCTTGAAAAGTTTAACAAAGTCACCTTGGGATGTTAATTTGCAGCAAGGTCTGCCAAAATTATTCCCAAGGAAAGAGTGGAAATATTGATCAGCTTTCCAATAAGGCAGTCTTGCACTAGAAACACAATATCCAAGCCGCCAGTAAATTGGCAATGAAGAAAGGCGGGGAAGGGGAGAGGAAGAGAGTGACTTACTGAGCTCCAGAACTCAGGAAATGGCTTGTCCTCCCGCCCCGCCCCGCCATCTGAAATTAAAAGTCTTCTCCTTTTTGGCATGTTCAGCTCTCTAACCCAGTGTTTCTCAACCTCTGCTATCTTAAGCTGTGCAGACCTTAACTCCCAGAATTTCCCCAGCCAGCATGCTGGCTGGGGAAATTCTGGGAGTTGAAGTCCGCACAGCTTAAAGTCGTGGAGGGTGAGGACTTCAACTCCCAGAATTTCCCCAGCCAGCATGCTGGCTGGGGAAATTCTGGGAGTTGAAGTCCGCACAGCTTAAAGTCGTGGAGGTTGAGAAACACTGCTCTAACCTTTCCTCCCTCAAAGTTGGTTCTTACTTACCTCAGAGAAACCTGTGCCCTGCACATACATGCTAGAATCACATGTGAAAGATCCTGAGACCCTGCCCCCAAACTTGATAGTAGACAACACTGAAATACATTTAAGGAATTCCATCTTTCAAACAGGATCCAAGCTCAACCTTCTCCAATTTTTTGTATAGTTCTTCTGAAAGACCAGGTTAGGGATAGACTGGCATGGAGAGAATCTATGCGGTCATTAGGAGTTGGAAACAACTTGATGGCACATAATCAGTCAATCAATCAATCAATCAATCAATCAAAAAAGGAAGCACTTAGAGCCTCTTGATGAATCTGAACAATACGTTTCTCTGCAAGCACCAAATGCTTGCACAGGGGGGTGGACGTATTTTCTGTCTGAAACACCAAGTCAAGAATGGAGAACCTATGGCCATCCAGATGTTGCTGAAGGACAAGTCACAGCACCCCTCACCATGGGCCATGTTTACCACAGCTTCTGGGATACAACAGCTGGAAGGCTACAGGCTTCCCAAACTTGCACCAGCTGACCATGTGAAGATTGCAGACAGACACCTGAAAGCCAATTCTTGCTAGGCGAGCCAGAAGAACGTTCCTTTTCCTTATGACTGGAAGCCAGATCTCTGAAGGAGGGCAGGGCCCTTGCCAACTCCTGCTTGCCCCAACAATTACAGAGGAGCTTGGCCAAGAAAATATTTGTTCTCACACTTTCTACGTGGACTGGTGGCATAACTCAGTTTTCTGGCATCAGGCAAATTAAACAGTGGAATAACACTGTTAACATTCTTGCCATAAGAGGTCAAGATCGAAAGGCACCATTTATACCCCAGCACAGCCCAAATCTGTGCTTGCCAATTGCCCCATATTTCCAAGAGGACTGCTGCTTACTCCTGCGTTCTTCATAAATGCTGTGAAGAACTCAAGATGTGTATTCCAAAGCAACATTTCTCAAATTCTGCTCTCGCACCAGCCACTGAAAGCTGATCTGGCCAGTCAACTTTACACCAGGTCCTGGATGAGATGATTAACAGGGCCCTCAGATAAACAGTGTCAGAGACAGCTGCCTTGAAGATCCAAAACCCATCCAGTCAGGTTTCTCAACAGGGCAACACAAATCGTTTTATTAACTATCCCTAGCATTTTGAGGTTGGCAGCAGGACTCTACAATCAACATTTGTTTGAAGAAACATGCAAGGACTAAAACATAATTGAGGCCAAGCCCCTGTGATGAATTTCCAAATGGTCAGCCCTGCATTTGCAGCAAAAAAAAAAAGCAATCATCATTTGACACCCTAAGTAATTCATTCTAGCAAAGCTTTCATGGTCTACCGCCCACAAAATCCATGAGGCATAATGCTGAGATGATAACATCTATATCAGTGTTTGTCAAAGTTGTGAACTTTAAGATGTGTGGACCTCAACTTCCAGAATTCCCCAGCCGGCCATGCCAGCTGGGGAATTCTGGGACTTCAAGTCCACACATCTTAAAGTTGACAACATTGAGAAACACTGATCTACATGTTCCCAAGGTTGGCCAGATGAGAAAGTAATAAACAGCAGGTACCTTCTGTGTTTCACTTCTCCAACCTCACTGCTTAATATTTCTCACAGAACTACCAATGTGTTTGTGTGTCTCTGCCCACAAAAGACACGTGTGTGTGTATATAAACACACACTCCTATCTCCAGTCAGTATCCCATGTATCTGATGGTCAAGTGGAGTTCCCAAAGCACTCCTTTTCAAAGTGCACGAGGACTCCAGTTTGTGTAACTAAAACAATCACAGATCTTGCCTCTATTTCCCTTCTCTTCTTCCCTTCCTTGTCACATTTTCTCAACAGTAAGCTTCTTGGGTGCAGGGACCAATCCTACTCAACTTTGTAACGTTACTGTCAACACGGGCTGTGCAACATAAAGAATAAAAAGGCCTATCCTACCAAGGAACAAGAAAATCTTAGGTTTGGCAAGGCCTGAGGAATTCTGAGGCTGGATCAGAGGAAAGAGGCCTTGGTGCCAAACAGGTGTCTTTCTTCATCTCACTTCCCTAGCTGTAAGGTGAGAAGAAGGAGAGCCTCACCTGACTGGCACAG